AACATTCGCCAAAGTACATGATAGTTCTAGAAACGTTGCGTCACGGTAGTCATGTGACTCGCTGACGCAACATTATTATTTAGTTTTCACAAATGGGTGTCCGAAGGATGGGGCAAGGGGGACATTGCTCTCCCTGGAATTTCAGAATAAAATTTATTTGAATAATCTATTCGAAAAACGCATTAGAAAATTAAATTATTTAAAATATAAATGACGAAATTAGGTATAAATAAATAAGCCATAATCAGTCAGAGCATTGTATTCAAACTTCAAGGCAATGGCCTGCGCTCTGGAATAAATTTTTCGGACGCCCATTATTTCCATTTTTTAATCAGATATGCAACAGGTTTATACGACAATAACAAACATATGCACTATCGTTATTATTTCGTTTTCGAGTTGTTTCACAGGAGACTAAAATAGAGTAATCCTGTGTTTGAAAAACAAAACAAAAACATCTCAAACGTTTAATTTCTTGCATTTTGTGGTTGTATTTTATAAAAATAACGAATGCTCTCAACGTTATTTATTTAACGAGATAAAAGTTTCCTGAATACCAACCTTAGAGAATGTTGAAATGTATGATCGTTAATTATTTATAAGCCAGTTTCAAGTTGTTGCTTTGTAAATTGCATGAGAAACGTTTGTAAAAAAAGTGGTATAAACACATTTATGATGATAGAATCATACTGACAAAAGTTCACTCTTCAAGCACTAGGTGGTACTGTATTTGTCGTTGAATACCGTTTATCAATGAGTCTTTTCTTAGGCTAAGTCAAAGGGAAATATTAAATATGTGATCCTAAATGTTTATCATCATGTATGTATTCTTGTAGTATCTGATATCAAAATCAATTTTGAGTTGTATAATATTAGGTTTGCCATTTTCTATATATAAAACCAAAGAATATTATGTCATACTTTATAAATTATATGTTTATATTAATGATGTTAATAAAATAAGCTTGATATTTTTAAATTTAATTAAAAAAAATTATATATAATGTCAGTGTCACGTCAATCATTGGTATTAATATTACTATTAATAGTGCTATTAGTATTACTTTTATTAATTATTATTGATATAAAAATATATTAGTTGCTTTATGTTAAGATTTAGGTTGTGACAGCCCAAAATTTAACCCCTGGATCTGCGTGTATCTTATAAGTTTTATCTTATAACTGAAAATAAAAACAATTGAATGTAAAAACTAAAAAGTAACGTGAGATTCAGGAATTCAACTTTTGTTTGACTACTACTTCTACTAGTAGTAGTATAACTTATAGTATAAGGCTCGTGTATGCTGGCTAATAATAATAACTTCCGATCACAGTAAGTTATGTAACACAAAATCGTATAACTATAAGTTCAAAAGTGTCAAGTCGTATAAAATTATAAGTTATAATGTTAAGTTGAAGAAAGTTAAATAGTTCATTATGTTTTACAAACACTGTTTGAAACAGAATGAAACTGCTGTTGTTAAGTTAAGTAATGTATGTGCTTGAAGTTGACGTTTGTGATGTTACAACTTATTTTTCTCCAATAAGGTTCAAGATAATTACTAACATGCTGAATATGTTGTGTTCTATTAACATTTCTTTTAATAGCTTATTATTAACTTGGAAGAATGAAATCTTAATAATATTGCCTGTAACTTGTAAGAATGTGATGAATGGCCAAAGCAAGAAAATGAACTAACTATGATCCTCATCATACATACATTCATGAAACAAAATAATAAACATGTTTTTACATGTGGACACAAAATTTTATACATATTACTCTTAATAAACAATTTTTAATATTTTCACATCTTCATGCAATTTTAAATTTTATACATAGAAATATTGAGTGTCATTGGTTCTCTCTGTAAGATGCTGATTAGACCTCATTTACAATATTGTTTCTACATTTGTCATATTGTTTAAAGTGTTGAGCTGGTAGAAAAGGATTAGGTCAAAGCTACCAAGATAATCTTAGGTTTGGAAGTGGAGAAAGGATCATGGGGGGATGGGGTGACAAGATAGAGGTTTTGAGACAGTTAAATGTATGGAATGCATAAATCCATATGACATTTTCATAAAAAACTGTTGGTACCAAGATTAGGAGACACAAGTTTAATGTATGGAAAGCTCAGACACAATTCCAGCTGAGATAGCATTACTTCCCAATAGTTTGCCTTCAGGTATATTAGAAGCTGCAACTGTGATCATTGCATTACAATAAACAAGTCTTTTTACAAATTTTGATGTATATTGCTTTATGCTTTCCAAGATTGAAACCTATTCCACATTTTTTACCTACTTAAGTCTTTCCAAGTTCTTTTGAATCAAATAAGCATTCTCTAGAATATCATATTTTCCCAGCATTTTAGTATCATCAATGACTGTGAAAGTGTTATAACCCAAATAGCTGTTCAAATAGTCGACATAAGTAACTTAATTAAAAATTTCAAAAAATATATGTGTGAGAGACTTTATAATCACATTCTTTCAATCAAGTGATGCCTATTTACTACCTCCAGTTTAGTAGGCACTCCATAATTTTTCAATATATTCAGTGCCTATCGTGACTTTTGTATATGTTAAATAATAACTTATTAACTAATCATTGGTATGCATATCTTATCATGGACTCTCAGAAAGCCAATATTCTATTTGATTTAACTTCAGGTCTTGTACAACTCTAAGCTCATAAACTGAGAATTCTTCTACAATTGAAATGTATTTGTTATAGCTAATGTACCATAACTTAACCACTGTTTTATATAATGGTATCATTTTAATTATCTTATAAATATGAACTGTTAAGCCATTTTAAAAAGAGTTATTATTTTATTATTTTCCATGGATATTACTTCTGAAAATTAAATAGTCTTGTTCAAGCATTGTAATGTAACATTTTTGTTGAATATATTAATTTTGTTGAATGTGTAACTTGTAACATGACAAAGAGCAGAGAATTAGCTAGTTTTATTTGTTATTAATCCAATATGTCCATATGCTTATGAATTTTCCATTTTTGAATGGCAGTGAACCCATTTTTTAAATTATGTAATTGCCATACAGATATTTGCTGATAATTGAAATTTCAGGTGAACTTGAGAAGCAGGCAGATGTGCCAGTTCAGCTCTAGGTAGAAAAGGATGTCTCTCAGACAAGCCATAAGGTCCAAGTTTCGTTCAGAAAAACCTGACACTGAAAAAGAACCTGACACTCTTCCAAGTGCTTCGACAAGTCTACCATTTCGAAATTTTCAGGAGGACGAGATGTGTTTGTTACATGAAGATGTCCTTGGTCAAGAAGAGGAGAGTCTGTTGCAAGTATGTTTGGGAAGATTTCTGAGTTTATGTATTACTGAATTATGACATCTTCTTACCAAACTTAATTAAATGACTTAATAGATCTAGCTTGTACTTGACGTACCTGCATCCATTACTGTTGTGTGTTTTCATTGGTTACTGTCTTCCAACTTTCTGTAGAATTCAATACTTTAAATATAGATTTTTTCCCTTCAATGAGCAGATTTTTATTTCATCACAGCTGTCAATTGTAGTATGGCTACTCAACAGACTTACCATTATTGAGTTAAAACAAAAGAGTGTTTTCTGAAAAGTATTATCATATCCTAGTAAATTATATCTGTATATGTGCTACAAGACAAACTATTTAAAATTCACAATGTTTCTTTGAAATTTTGAAAATAAATTTGATATTCAGTTTTGATCAAATATAGGACAATGTAAGAACAAGCAAGATGGCAGAAAACTATTTAGTCTGTCAAGGTCACAAGGCCTTCAATTTTTCAGTTATCATAAGATCACCATCCCAGTTTACATTGTGTTTTTCATATACCAGTTTATCTAACCATTAAATATCCAAACATATTTAAACTAATGGCATATAGTACGTCATTAGGCAAACCATTCATTGTTATTTGTGGCTTGGGAAATGGATATGCCCTAATCAACAGAATGTTCCAAACAAACCATTAAGTATTAAGTGGAAAATAAAATCCAAACAAATATTAAAATTATAAATAGACTTTCTGCACAAAAAAGTAAGATGACAAATGAAATTAAAAAGCTAAGCCCAAATGCTTATGAGTTGCCATGCACTAAGCCATAACTACCACTTTTTCTCTAAGGCCAGAAATCAGTGTGCCAACAGTTCTATAAAGCTGCAGATTCTTTGTTTTCAAAATCAGATTATTTGGTTAAATCTAGCAAAATATTTAAGCAGTAAATCACCAACCAACCTCTGATATTTTTAAGAAGCTTGGAAAACTTTAAAGGAATGATTTATTAATTTGTTGTTTCCATTGTTCTAATCTAGTCAAAAATGATAAATTTGTTTGGATATTTAGTATTATGTAAAAAGGCAGTAAACTTGAGTTTCTTAAAGCAAGTTGATTATGATGTGATCACGTGGACAGTACAAGTTGTATTAGGCTAATTATTCTTGATGCACATAGAGAATAAACATTGTCATTTTTGTTAAAGTGTCTTGTAAGTTAATGCCGTTGTTTAGATTTTGAATTATTGATCTTGTGTAAAAGTTTTCTGATTAAAGTAGAGAATAGCTGTTTGGTGTAATTTTCTATTGTTTTATATTTCTTAAGGCAGAAGTTACTCAGGACTCCAGGTTTCTCACAGACCACTTTCGATCAGCTTATGAGACTCAACTCAACCAGTTGCACGAACAGCTTTTAGCTGCCATCTTGGAAAATCAGCAGTTATGTATGTTGGTTTAAACTTGTAAATGATAATTTGTGAATTATGATTGGTAAAGAAAGCTTGGACAGTGTGTTTATTTAAATAACAAATTAAAGCTAACTTTAACATTTATGAGTTTTTGGTGGTATAAAGATGAGCAAATGTAGTAACATTAAACTCCTAGATTGGCAGCCTTGCCTTAATGATGAACAAAACAAAAGCACCAGAAATTAAGTTCATACAACATGTGGTTCCATGGATGTGTCAAATGAACTTATTTTTTCACACACAGGTTTGAAATAAAAGCAATATTATAATGAAAATGGACTATTTAGTTTATGGTATTTATAATTTTGTAAAGTTTGAATACAAAGGAGCCACCCCACCCCACTCTCCTCCTCCTGTAGGCTCATCAGTACGTGTGAGGACTTATAATGCTAAAAATCAGGTTTCTGTACCTGCAGTGGGCAGAGCACAGAAGCCCATTGTGTAGTTTTGTTTGTAACAACAAACAAGTAAAGCATACAAAGGTTCAAAGAAAAACATGCAAAAGAACAAAGCAGAAACATTATGGAATGAAGTAAGTTCTGTGACATTTATGAACTTGTTTATTCAAAGACCTGACAGTTAAATCTGAGTGTCATTTATAGAGACAATGTTAATTATACAGTGTTTTATTTTAAAGAGTTTAATCTGTACATAAAGGCATTCTTTTTAGTGTCATCACTAGATGCCCATGGTAGGGCTGGAGTAGTTTATATGTAAATTAAGCTTGGCACAAGTACATGCAGTTATATCTGAATCATATGCAAACAAAATAACTGTATATTCACTGAGGCATTCTGATATTCACAAGAGTATAATTTTATGTAGAATATATATATGTTAAAAAATATTTAAGGATTTGTATTTTTTTATTATAAATTTGACAGTTTTCTATACAGACTGTAAATATAACACTACATTTAGTACTGTATTATTTTAATACTGTACTCAGCTGACCTTATATACATGTGCTGAGTATGAATGAAACATTATACTGATATTTCCCAGTCTGTAGTTACAGTACAGTATTTGTGGTACGCGTGCCTTTCTTGTCAGCATATTGGTTTGGCAGAAAAATTCCATAAATTTGCAAAATGTCATATTTTGATACCTTTCATTGTCTTCATTGCCACTGTCATTTTTACACAACTGTACATCACTGCATCCCAGATTTTTTCTATTTATAAAACGTATTATGTAGCATTAAGTCTAGAATATCGAGCCTCTCGACCTTCAGCAATATGAAGATATAAGTTAGTATGAGAGATACAATATGAATAAAGTTATAGTTTATTACCATTTATTTCACTTTATTATTTTATTATACTAAAGAATAATATTTCATGATTAAGATTAATTTAATGTATGAAAATTTACCTACTTTAAAAAAATGACATTCTTTTTTTTATTTTCTTATTTCCATATTCAAGACAACCTGTTAGGCATCATGAAGTCCAAAGTGTGATTATACTTTACTAAAATCAGTTAAAAAAAAAGATTGGTTGCTCATTTAGGTGTAGGTAGTTCAGTGGCGTACCCAGGAATTTGAGGGGGGGGGACATGTCTTAACATTCATATTTGCATATAATTTATATTTATCTTTATTATATTTAAACCTTATTATTTCCTGGTGAAAAATAAAAATATAAGGGGAGTATTGACTTATGTTTCCTTTTTACTTTTTAGTCCTAGAATGCTAGCATGGGATCACTATGACCCATACCAGTTGGGGTTAATGGCAGAAAATTTAATGATAGCATTCTAGGGTTAAAAAGAAGCATTAGAGTGTATCACAATATGTAGTGGTATCATTTTCATTGTATCCCAGTATGTATCGTGTTTAAATGAATGACCAGTAAACAGCCCTAATGCTGAGTTATTTAATGTATTATACCTGAAACATACGAGAACTATAGGGGTATTCAGTAGAGTGTATACATCTGCCACGCAGCATTGATAATATTCGGCTCTCAAAAAATATGAAAATGTGTCTGTATGTCCATTGTTATCTACTGACGTGGACCATTTTTGACAGGACAATGAGGAATAATATTCTTCATATGTCCATCAAGTTTCATCAAAATTTAATCATTTTTACTGAGCTATGGAGCAAAAATAGTGTGAAAAATTGATCCCCATATTAACAGATAGGGATTTTTGTGACCTTGCTTTGACCTTGACCCTTCCAAAAACTAATCATTTCTAAGTTGGGTCATAGTCCAAACGTATACCAACTTCCATTCATCCATTTTTGAGAAATCTTGCTGATAAACACATAAACACACACACACATACTCAGAGGTGAAAATATAACCTTCGGTGGTGGAGATAAAAATGTATTGGTGCTATTTGATACATAGAGGTTCAGAACTTATGTTAGAGCAGCACATCCTGTCGGGCTAGTCTGATCATTATTTTCGAATCAAACTCTTCCCTATTTTCTCACATGCATGTTTTGCTTTGTGTCTTTTACAGCAAATGAACTAAAGCAACTCCGGGAACAAAAACCTGTAGATTTTGTAAAGGAATTGGAAAAAGAAAAAGAAAAGAATCGATTTCTAACAGAAAAATTGCATGAAAAGGATAAGGATGTGAAAGATAAGGAAATTGCTGGAAGCAAATCTCCAAGGTGTGGAGAATGATTTTCTTTGTAAACATGTAATGAATATTCGTTTTCCAACACAATATTGTTTTTACTGTTCAAATATTAATTTTCCGAAGATGAAATTTGTTATTGATGTGTGATTTACCCTGAAACTTCTAATTTTTTACACTTATGTTCTGTTACCAGATTTTGGTTTGATTATGTCATGGTCTTTTTTGCACAAATTACAAAGAAACAGTGATTTATTTAGATCAACTGTCTGTATTTACTGGTATATCTGTAATCTTTACAGAAATTTCATACATCCTGATTTTACTGAGAAAGTTTTACACCTAATTTTATTGGATCAAATTTTAGGTTTAAAAGTATGAAAACTATTATATGTATATATATATATATAACATTTCAAGTTGGGCTCATTATGTTTTCTTTCAAATTTTATAATTTTTTTTGAGGTTATGAAGTCAACTAAACAGTGTAAACTCTATGTGGCTCGTTTTGATATAAAATGTGTCAGTACAATAGGTCTCTTTGACTTTCATAATAATCTTTTTTAAGAAAGTTGTGAAGTCAAACAATAAAAATTCTTTGCAGCTTGTTTTCTTATTAAATATGTCAATATAGTAATACTCTTCATCTATGTACAAAAATTATAATTGATAGTATTGTTGGCCTTTCCTGATTGTCACTAGTACAGACTGACTTGTTATTTACTTCTCCTAGTGATTTACTATAACATACATTCAGTATGTTATTTTACTCTTTTGTAATGTTTACAAGGAAAGCTTCAAATCACTAATCAGTTGTTTTCAGGTAATATTATCTAAGACCTTTGTTTTATTTGTTTGTTTTCAAACTTATTATCCCAGTTTGGGGTTAAAACTGCTTGCACTGGTTTCTATCTTTTGTATGATAAATTCTGTATTATATGGGCAGTAACTTGTTCGTCTGCTTTAGACTGCAATTTACATGTTATAATAGACCTTGTTGCCAGTTAACTCTTTCAGTACAGGTATTTTTCTGTGTTTCTCTGCTACTTTCTTTCAAAAGGATGATATGGTATTCAATAACATGGAAGTTATACTAAATTTAAAATAACACATTATAATTGTTTGGTTCTAGCACCAGTGAATTGAGAAGATACATGGTTAATAACATACATGTCCAAATACATTGTAAAAAAACTTTAAAACATATAGCCAGTGTTCTGTTTGTTTCATTGTTTTAAGTCCCCTATAAGATGAAAGCTTCTAAGTTTGTGTAACGGATGTTCGTAAATTAGCATTGATAAAAGGAATCTTGATATTGTATCTAGGGAATTTATAAGTGGAACAACAAATTAAGCAAAAATAAACTCGCATTTTAGCTAAAAACGATTTGTAGGGTTTTATTATATAGACTCTGGAATTCAAGCTTTCCAAGATTTTATATTTAAAAAAACAACACAATGTTTTTGACCTTTTTCTGAAAACAAATTCGCATTGCTGTCTTGTTTTGCACACTTAGTTAATTTTTTTACTTTTACCAAAATGAACCTGAGTTCATTTTTTGAATAATATTATAACTGTAGGTAGGTTGTTTTTCTGTCAAAATAACTTATGTAAACAAGAGCTGTTGATTATAAGAGAAGTCATCATAATGATTCCAGATGAGCAATGACAGTGTGTTTGTTTGTACATTAAGGGCTTTACTAAAAATATCAAATCATTTTTTTTAACTGTTATAAAGTTAAAGTTAATCTAGACAAACTACAATTCTATTGTTATATGATTCATATATATAAATATGTTAAGTTTAGGATTTGAAAACTGATGTTTTGTTTTAGGAAATAATGTTTTTCCTGCTAGATTGAGACGGTTAGTGAGGAGAGAGAAGCATGATCGAAACAGGACGGTAGAAGTTGGAGAATTTCAATCATCATCAGTGACAGAAAAGGATGAGTGGGTAGACATTGCAAAGGAAGTCACTGAAAAAGATTGCAAGTATTTTGGATAACTTATGCTCAAATTTTCTTTAGTGTTTCATTTTTGCTCAGATTTATTTACTTTATATATTCTTTTTCCAGCCTAGAGTAACCAGTAACAGATCCAAAAAGTTTTCTCAGTGAAGAAATTGAGTTTGCACATGTAATAGTACGTATAACCTGGATGCTTTTAAACACCCTGTTAATATTAAAGCATTCTTGCTCATATATATACACTCTGAAAAGATCTGTTATGTGAGATGCTAGTTAGGTTATTGTAAATATATAAAGAAATAAAGTATTTGATGAGTTTTTGTTTTCAGAGAAAAATTTAAAAGTGCTAAAAAGTTTAAGTTTTCATTCATGGGTTTGTAATCCTTAAAGTTTTCTTATTTCTATGTTTGTTGCTAAATGCCACTTATGCTTACAGATCAAGAAGATTCCCCTACTGAGCCTAACCCTCCTGCAACAGTTTCAGGATGGAGACACTCCTTCAGAATGTGGCTTCATGACTGGTTCTCGGATTTTCTAGAGGACTTTTCAGAGACTACAGTGGAGGAAGAAGATGTAAAAGAAGCAGAGAAAGAAGGAGATCCATTAACAGTAAAGAAGTAAGTTGTGCAAGTTTTAAGGAAGTTGACATCTTTGACATAGTTTCAAATGCCATGTTAGAATACTGTCAGCTGCACTGAGAATAATGCAAGGCATTTTAGAAAAAAACAATTAAAATCATTATGGGCATATCCACAACACAAATACTATAAACCTGCTCTCTATCGATACAAACTGCTCCTTTTCTTATGGAATGTTAAATGACCTTCAGTGGCTACTGTCCTCTATACTTACAATAATAAACCTTAGAGAAAAACTCACTTACTCCACTGATTGGGCGATTGGTTCAGACAACAATATATTTCTAAGCCAGATGTACAATATACAAAATTGTCAAAATCTATATTCCCCAATAGAAGAGTCATTATGTTACTCTTTTTTCACCAATCAGTATATGAGGCAAAAAAATACACTGTAAACTGTCACCACCAAGAAACAGAAACATTACAAGCTGATTACATAGAAATGTAAACACATGTTCTCTCACACACAAATTGCTGACCCCTGCTGAGACTGTAATATTTTTAAGGTTTGACCAGTCATGCCTAGGTAACATATGTTTCAGCAGAGCTTCAAATTACAGTTTTTAGCACTGGATGCTGTGTTGTTTTAATACTACATTCAGTTGACATTGTATGCACTTACTGAAGTACATATGTGATAAGAAAATAACAATTACATAAAAAACAATTCACATCTTGTTTTCAATAACCACTTAAATGTTCTTGTCAGATTTCAAGTACATCTTTGAAGCTATTCCTGAGAGCCCTCAAGACTGCCCCTCGTACGTTATTAGTGGCCTTCAGTATTAAAGTATCAAAATTCAAAATGTAGAGATACCTATTTTGAATTATTTCTTGTATGTCCACACAATTTTCATGTAAATCCATGGACCAAAAACTTCTTTCCACTTATATGGAGAATCAAATTTGAAAACATTGAGAACTGATATTTTTGTTTTTGCTAATACAATTTTCAATTAACCCAGTTCATTCAAACTTTAAAATAGTTTTGTCAAAACATTGTAGAAATTGAGTGAACGTAGATACGTACAATTAAGAATCACTACACACACACTGAAGTGTACTCATTCCTCTTTGTAAAAAGTTGATACTTTTTATAGTGAATTTTATTAGTTTTTGTTGTAATATTTTGAGAAAAACTTTATACATGTAACTTAATTATTAAACTTGATCACGTGATCTTGTGTCTGTCTGTATATAACTAAAGGTGAGATTATCATTGTCTAAAACAAGTCACAAACGAAAATGCATGACTGTAGAAGTTAATATATTGTAATTGTCATCGTATACTTAGCGGTAAAGTGTATTTATAACTGTAGCTCCAGAAGATAAAATGTAAAGTTTTTTTGTACTGGAGATGAACGACAATATGTTTCTTTTGGAAAACAGTGCTCTGAATCAGAATTTATTTTTGTGGTTTGATATTTGGGAGAATGTGACTTATCTATCAACCAGTACTTACAGAGGTATGATTTGTGATTTTAGGTTGAAAGAGAACATCCTACGATTCGGTAAGTACGTCAGTTTTTAGTTTATGTAAGCCTGAGGATCAGACTTTTTCTGAAATAATGAAAATTAAGAAGTGAAGAAAACAAAGGCAGTTGTATGTTTCACAAAATTGTCAAAATCTATATTCCTCAATAGAAGAGTCATTATGTTACTCTTTTTCACAAATCAGTATATGAGGCAAAGCCTTCCTTTCTAATTTTTTCATAACTAGGTTTAAAATACTAACTTGATCAATTATTATAGTATTAGTGAATTTCTTAATTGCCCTATCTTAGATTGGCTTAATCTTACCATATGTTCCAGGTTTAACTACTAGTTTATTTAAAATGTTCAAAAAACAACAGATATTCTGCCCTATAT